GTTGTTGTATTGCACATACGGACTATGATGATGGACACACGCAATGATGACAAAAATTAATGCTGCCGTCGTCGACGGGGGCCATGTACGCACGTGCCCATGCAGAGGAAGCTAGGATTGGTTGCGACGAGGACGAGCCGCGAACCCTCTGCCTTCGCCGGCCGGCAGCGCGTAATCCGGTCCCTTGTTGGTGGTGCACCAGTTTGGAAGCTTGTGGTACGGTGATGATTGGCGTTACTAGTACTACTGGCAACGACTTTGTGGTTCGCAACTTCGCAGTGGAAACCGTCATGTAGTTCGCGGCGTTTTAGTGGCGCATCAGCTCACGTCTCCATCTTAACACCCTCTCACACGCCCACGGTTTAATTTGGTGACATTTTTTTACATAGACAGACATGGCAAACTCTACCTGTTATTTAGCTACGTACGATGATCGACAAGTGTTGAACGGCCTTGGTTTGTCAACTACAAAGTTTCATAACTTTTCGAGATCTACAACTTTCGTTTTTGCTGTTTATCCATCCGAGGTCGTTTGAAAAAACTCGAATTTTAGTGCTTAAATAAATATTTTTGCTGTTTGTCTTAGAAGCCGACAGGACCATTTTTTCTAAAATAAATATTTTAATTGAGTAATTCTAAATGTAGAAGCTGTTATAAAAAATGGCAAGTATAGTATACTGTCGGTGTCTGGACGGCCGACAGGCTACGTGGCAGTTTTAATTTGTCGGCCTAGCCCTGGCGTAAGTATGTTGTATGCATGCATGTGCTCGCGGCGCCGACAGCTCGCCTAGACTTGTACAGCTGCCTGCTGCTATATATATATATATATATATATATATATATATATACATACACTGCGAGCCAATGCCGCTGTACGTTGTTGTATTGCACATACGGACTATGATGATGGACACACGCAATGATGACAAAAATTAATGCTGCCGTCATTGCCGACGGGGCCTATGTACGACGTGCCCTTGCAGAGGAAGCTAGGATTGGTTGCGACGAGGACGCAAAGTGACGGACCTAGGATTTTATCATGCAGGGTATGCCGTAAAAAAAATTCTTATGCAATTTGGTAAACCATTTACAATTCGGTAAAACTATATTCTAATTCAATAAAACCAACTAAATTAAATAATATGATGAGCCTTAAATTAAAAGATTAAGCTACAAACGACGATAAATCTCGATATAAATTGTTCAAAATGAAACCCAAATAATTCATAATATAGAATCGATCTGTTTGGAACTTTCGGTTAGAAAACTCACAAGTCACAGGATATGATGGACTAATGACCGGATGCTAATTATTGATCTGATGCAGTGATGCGGATGAATGAACTCATGAACTGGAAAAAAATGACTCATACATAAATAATTAAAACTATTTAAGTACACAAGTAAGAAGAAGAATAGAAGATTAATCTTAAAACATGCGCGCCACGTGCGTTCAAATATCTCGCCGAAGCGTAGCCGGCCGAGACGATAACGTTGCAGGCCCTCCGGCGTCGGGCTTCGCCGCGGCCGCGCCTCCGAGTCTGGCGAGTCGGTGACCGTCGTGGCCGCGTGGGCGGTGGGCGCGTGGCGTCGTTCCGTGATGGCGTCGGCGTGACCGCGCGGATTCGACTCTGCCGCTTGCGCGTTGCGACGATCCAGCGGGATGGTTGCAGGCGGTGCGCGTGAGTCAATGCATGGGACCGGTGGGGTTTCGAGCCATGTGGAGCAGAGTAAGCGCGAAGCGCCATATGCGCGTGAGTTTAATTGTGCCCGCAAGAAGCGGACGGACGGCTGGGCGTCTGGTACTCGGGCGTGTCCACCAGCTAGTAAGCTTTTTTCTTTTTTCTTACATAAAATTTATATTCTGGTTCACTTACACCTGGACCCTGTGGTATGCGGTGGCCCACCCAAAGACGCCCCTGTGGGTCCGCTCCATGCTTGAAGGACGAGCCGCGAACCCTCCGCCGTCGCCGGCCGGCAGCGCGTAATCCGGTCCCTTGTTGGTGGTGCACCAGTTTGGAAGCTTGTGGTACGGTGATGATTGGCGTTACTAGTACTACTGGCAACGACTTTGTGGTTCGCAACTTTGCAGTGGAAACCGTCATGTAGTTCGCGGCGTTTTAGTGGCGCATCAGCTCACGTCTCCATCTTAACACTCTCTCACACGCCCATGGTTTAATGACATTTTTTTACATACACAGACATGTCAAACTCTACCTGTTATTTAGCTACGTACGACGAGTGTTGAACGGCCTTGGTTTGTTTGTTTCTCTCTACACATCTCCAACGAATATATATATATAATGTGCCCGTTAATTCATCACTTAAGTTACACTTTCTGGAAAGACTGTACGTGTATTCGATAGGCATATGTGGTATGTCCAAATTTGACCTTGACGGTCTGCACGTTAATTCATCACTTAAGTTACACTTTCAGGAAAGACGGTACGAGTATTCGATAGGCATATGTAGACTTTGTAAAGAGCGCCTAATATTTACTCGATCTGGTAGGAGAAATTAACACAAGTAAGGGAAACAGGTATCCACGTAGACTGCAAACCTCCAAATAGTATAATATTATCCATTGTGAAAATTAAAGGCGAGCAGATCAAGAAACAATAGTAGGGGTTTGTCCTCCTTATTTTCTATATTTAACTTATTCAAAGTTTCAGCTAGTACAAACTTAGAGGAGAGGAGAGATTTCATTTCATGTTTCCAACCAAGGAAGAGGGGGCTTGAGTTCCGACCGACACGGTGCTAAATCCGCCACTGCCTAGCAACCCCCCTTCCCTCTCCCTCTCTGTCACTCTCTCGAGCCAACCATCTCTAGGTTAGTCCCGTAGGCAAATAGACTATGATCAATCAGTAAACTCGCCAACTCAGTATCGAGCGGGTGGACCAGATGTTTTTCTCTCTATTAGCGATGATTTACATTATCCAAAAAAAAAAATCCGCTAGCTTCGCATGACAGTGAGCTCAGCATCATCCAATAGACGGCTAATCATTCACCTTGATAAGTATTTGATGTGTTCGTTTTTCTATTGGCTGCTGCCGGTGGTGGTCTGCAAGGACTTCTATCATTGCTTTTTTATATTCACAATCACAATGAATCAATGATGATGATGATATATAACCATGTAGCCTTAGTGCTGTACTATGTTTTTTCTTTTTTGTCGAATATAGCTACGCGCACGTGCAACGACAACTGCACACCACCTTAGGGCGACAGCCCTGTGATGTGGTCGTCGTCGTCCCCAAACGCCGTTAACTAAACGCTGCAAAAGCCATTGTACAGTAGCTTCATGAATTAGTGCACCTTTTTAAAGCTATCATCATATTATGCCACTACTACAGAAACGATTAGTAGAGGCGGCTCCAGATGGTTTGTAGGAGCGGTTTTGCCAGCCACCCCTACCAAAGGGTGGCTACAAATCGCGGAATTGTAGGAGTGGCGGGCCAACGGCGGCTCACTCCATCATTTTCTATAAATTCACGAATCCGGGCAAAAAAAAAACGATTTCTTTTAAACTAGGGAGGCCCTCGACGGTCAGCCACATGTCGCGCGCTCTCAAGTCGCGCATTTTTTCGCGTAAAATCCCGCGCTACGTGGCTGCCGGGGTTCGAACCTGTGACCTCGGGCTCGCGCGTTCCGCCCTCTAACCACTCCACCCAATACTCAATTGTGTATATCTTGGATTTTGGTTCCCCACGTATTATCCTAAACCGAGCAAAAATTGATTGTTTAAGGCCCTAAACGAATTGAAATGAATAAGTTGTCAACTACAAAGTTTCATAACTTTTCCAGATCTACAACTTTCATTTTCGTAGTATCTCCATCCGAGGCCGTTTACAAAATTTGAATTTCAGATTTGAGAAATTCAAACATAGTTTTTCATGGCAAGATGATTTCAAATCCAAAAGTTGTCAACTACAAAGTTTCATAACTTTTCGAGATCTACAACTTTCGTTTTTGCTGTTTATCCATCCGAGGTCGTTTGAAAAAACTCGAATTTTAGTGCTTAAATAAATATTTTTGCTGTTTGTCTTAGAAGCCGACAGGACCATTTTTTCTAAAATAAATATTTTAATTGAGTAATTCTAAATGTAGAAGCTGTTATAAAAATGGCAAGTATAGTATACTGTCGGTGTCTGGACGGCCGACAGGCTACGTGGCAGTCAGCGGGCCCGCGCTGATTGCAGACCATTCGGCTTCCCAGTGTCTGCCTGCGCCAATTGCAGACCAGTCGGCTTCCAAGAGGCCGATACGCCGTTCAGGAGCAGCGCACACCCACAAGTACGTGCGGACTGTGCATGCTGTGTCCACGCACGCATGCTCCTAGTTTTATTCTGTTCCTCTGTCATGTACTCATGTGTATGTGTATATGATGGTGTCAATCCTTTGTTGTACAGGCTGCTGCACCTAAGCCCAACCCGAAGGTCGAGGATGGTATCTTCGGCACGTCCAGCGGGATCAGTTTCACCGAGGAGAACGAGCTGTTCGTCGGCCGTGCCGCCATGTAGGCTTTGCCGTGAGTATATTTAGAAGACACTGACGCCCATGTTTTGCAGCTGCATCTGGATGGAGTGTATTCATGCACGCTTAGGAAGTAGTAGAAAAAAATGTTCTTATATACTCTCCGTATTTAAATATATATGACGTTTAGAATAAGCTAGTTAGCTTTATTAGCTAATTAGCATGTCTTAAACATTACATTTAAAAATGGAGAGAGTATATCTTTTAGAGTTAACATAGGCGATATCTTTCATATTGACCAAAATAATTAGAGTAGTGCACACCATCCATCTATGGTACTATATTAGGAAAAACAACAATATATAGCTTTGGCAATAAAGCATAGCCATTCAATTTTTGTGATAGCTACTACTGCTGCCGTAGAAGGATACGGTGGTCGCTGTTACAAACGGAAGCATGACCACATTCCACGTTTCGGGGTTCCCATGTTATAAAATAACACTCAAGTTCCCGTTCTCATTTCATCATGGGAACATGGCTGCTAAGTGTTACCTCTGAAGTTAGCAGCTGGGTTTCAGCTCCAGATGAAAATTCAGTAGGGAAAAAGAGGAATGATGGGTGGAAGAAAATCGCTAACGGTCAAAATAAAAGATTTACTCACTTAATTTAAACCCGAAATAAAGTACTCAATTACTCCTGGTAGTTAGCAGTCTCCCAAAATAAATAAATTATAGATTGTCTAATTTATGCATTATCTTGTTATGGACAGCTACTCGTGTATGTATTATTAAGTATTGTCAGTTGAAACGAGGATTTATTAACACTAGTCTTGAACATGCATGGCAGGCATCGCTACTTGGAGAGGCCATCACCGGGAAAGGCATCCTTGCCCAGCTGAACCTGGAGACGGGCATCCCCATCTATGGGGCGGAGCCCCTGCTCCTCTTCTTCATCCTCTTCACCCTCCTTGGCGCCATTGGCGCTCTCGGGGACCGTGGTAGGTTCGTCGACGAGGAGGTCACCGGCCTGGACAAGGCCGTCATCCAGCCCGGCAAGGGCTTCCGCAGCGCCCTCGGCCTCAGCAAGGGAGGTAAAAAAAAAAAAAAAGAACTGCTCACGACACTTTCGCATGCAGCTGTCTCTTGTTCGTTGATTTGAACATTTTTTTTATTTAATGGTGGTGCCTGCGGTGCATGCGATGCAAGGCCGCTGTTTGGGTTCACCAAGCCCAACGAGCTGTTCGTGGGGCGGCTGGCGCAGCTGGGCGTGGCCTTCTCCATCATCGGCGAGATCATCACGGGGAAGGGCGCGCTGGCGCAGCTCAACATCGAGACGGGGGTGCCCATCAACGAGATCGAGCCGCTCGTCATCTTCAACGTCCTCTTCTTCTTCGTCGCCGCCATCAACCCCGGCACCGGCACGTTCATCATCGACGAAGGCGAAGAAGAGTAGGCTGATCGATGCTAGCCTCAGACATGATGAGTGATGAGTAGTGTGCGCTTGGGTTACCTGTGATTGATTGATCAATGCATGTGCGTACGTGCTTTGTTGTGTATTAGTAAGCGTGATGAGACCTCGAAAGGTAGGGTGTCGTGTTGGGTTGTCTTGTAGAAACAAGAGCTTATGTTAGCTAATATGCAATGCTTGCAAGAAAGTGTTATTCTAGCTTGAGATGCATGGATGGAGGGAGCACATGTTCTCCTAGACTAGATCTTGTTCAGTTTGAGAGATCAACGGCCAACCATCGGTATAAATCACACTGACCTTCGGTATTGAACTGCATTTCTCTTAGGCGCTCTCTTCTGTAACTCTACTCCATTTCCGTTTGGGCCTGTTTGTTTAGACTTTTTTGGGAGCTTTTGATCTTCGCTTTTGAACTTTCAAAAAAAAAAAAAACTCAAGGAAGCTAAAAGCCTGGAGCTCACTACAGTGAGCTTTTGACTTATGAGAGTTGTTTAACTTTTAGAAAATATAAAAACTAGTAATCTAAAAGTGATCGAAAGCTCAAGGCCTACCTTTTGCCGGGCAAGGTGATTATGGCTAATGACGAAGTTCAGATATAAATGGGCCCATCCACTTGTGTGTGTATGGACTGGTAGGCCGGGAGTGTGATTTGAGCCCAAAGCAATAGCTAGCATGGGCGGAGCCACGTGAGGGCCATAGGGGGCTGCGCCCCCCCCCTTGGTCAAGGGAGTTTTCTGAAGAGCGAAACTTGAGCAGCTGCGACGTACGTTATTAAGTGCAATACGCTTGAGTGAATTCTTCGTCTGGTGCCATCCGAGCACCTCTTGCCGAACTCAGCACACGGTGCTTCGATTAAAAAATTTACTTGCACTGCTATATATGCGCCTGAAGTCTTTGAACTGCTCTCCTCACTCCCTCCTTCCCTCCCTGGTCTACGTGTAGGAAGTTGAAAAGTGACTTTTTATTTGTTACTAATGCTTGATACTTGATATGCGGGACTTCATGCTAGCTTGGTGCAATATGCTGGATTGAAATTTACTAAGATATATAGCCTCTTTGACATGGACTGTGGCTAGCAATACCTTCTATTCTAAATGCTGCAACTGCTATCAGGCACTATAGATTTTTTTAGCTCCCATGACAGTTGGCTGCTGCTGCCTACAACAATTGCTATACTACGTAAAGACAATATATGTTTCGCAAGCATTTCTCTTCTTAAAGCATTGGCAGGCATTGCATTGAATGATGTTGGAGCTCATCCACGATGCCATCAAACGAGTTTTACATATGCACAAGCACTTCATCTCATTTTTTATCTTACTTGCTGGTTTCTCTTGTTCATGGAGCAAGCGTAAGCTGGAAGGTAGTAGCATCTAGTTAGGTGTGGCATGAGCTTATGGAATTGGCCCCCTCTTGATTTTAGCTCAGGCTCCGCACTGCGTGCAGTTTTAATTTGTATCCCAGGCGTACGTCGCCGCATTCAATTTCGTGCACGCACAGGTAGTTGGCCGGAGAGAGCTCTACGTACTAGGCTTTGGTCATTGCCATGGCTGCAGCCAGGATGTCAGCAGGCAACAACAGGTCACAGGCGGGCGATGCCATGCCATGCCGCACAGGGCGGGAGACCGACGGACATGGCAAACTCTACCTATTATTTAGCATCGTACGATGATCAACAAGTGTTGAACCGCCTTGGTTTGTTTATTTCTTTCTACACATCTCCGACGACCATATATATATATATATAGTATTACTATATGGTACCTGGGTACCAAATAGTTATTTAGTACCCAGCGTCCTATGAGCTAGGCAAACAGACCCACACTCCTTTCGGGCTTTAGGTTCATAGGCCCGGACCACCCACCGAGGAGGTCGAGCGACAGCTCCTAAGCTCCCCCCACTCACGCACGATTTCTTTGCGGTTTCCAGACCGCGTCCGCTCGGTCTCCTCCTCTCCCTCCGCCGGCACTGCCCATCCGTTCCCTCTCCCTACCACCGCCGTTGCCTAGCGCTCCGCCGTGCCCTAGCATCCCGCCCCGCCGCGCCGCTCCCCAACGATGTGCGCCATTATCCAGACGTCGCAGACGGAGCGCGCCGCCGTCTATGCCCTCGCCATAGCGTTGGTGCTGCTTCACGGTCTCGCGCCTGCCGCTCCTAGACGAGTGCACGGGTGCCGTGGTCTGTGGTCTACGGTCGGCCCTATCGGGGGCGGCGTGAGCAGGTGAGCAGGTTGCGCAAGCGAACGTGGCGGCCGGCTCTATTGGGGGCGGCGCGAGCAGGTGAGCCCTGGCCCCATCTCTCCCGCCCTAAACTCTCTATCTATCTCACTCCACGCAGATCCAAGGTGGAGGCACCCTGATTCGCGTGTGCTCTTGTTTTGGCTTGAGGTCGGTGCACCTGCTCGTGTACGAGGACGAGGATGCCAACTGGGCCTTAGACGGCATGCCGGAGCTCCTCACAGATCAGGACCCTGCCGAGATCCGCACCAGGTGAGCAAATCTCAACTTCGCATGTCCTTCGGTTGCTCATCCGTTATGTCGTATCTCGCCTGTGTGCGTGCATGTGTTCGACTAAATTGCTCATCATATGCTCGATGGAAAGCACGAGAGACAACCATGAGTGTCCTGTCGTAGTTGTCTGCTTGTGCGCAGTTGCGCCATGAGAGTGACATAGCGGTTTTCATAATCACATGGTGCTAAGGGTTGCCTTGCTGAAATCGATTTCCAACTGCGTTGATTCCCAAAATGTTTACAGTATGCTGTATCTACCTTGCCACTTTGGACTTTGGAATACATTTTTTTAGCTGGTATTATTATGCTGTAGTCGTTATATGTTTTTTGATCGAGTAGTTGCTATATGTTGCCATAGAATGCCCAGTTTTTTTTGTCTTTCAATTCAATGAACTCACTAATCATGAATAATGATGTTAAATCTATGCTTGTTTCTCATGTTGAATATGTGTCCCACAGGGTCTTTATGGTGCACTCTTTTGTCTTTGGTTATTGGTAGTTTGCCTTGTGTTTGAGAGGCTTCTATTCATTTCTTCTCAGGTTTGAAAATTGTTAATTCGATCATAGTTAATCAGCTCTAAGATAGTGTGTGGGAATATTCCATCAGGCAAAGGAGCATGGTTGGTTAGTTTTAGGAAGAGATTTTTGACAGTTTGATTTGTAGGTAGTTGGGAAGGATTCTCGGAGTTGTTAATCTATTATTTCTTATCTTCTTGCAGGTACAAGCCAGATGTACATTAAAGGGATATGGATTCAGGAAGGCCAGAAGTGACATATTATTATTCTAATTTGGTAACTACTGTATTTTTTATATGTACCATTCCTGGTTAAAAATAACATGCTAATGCTTGGTAGCTGAACCATATAGTTGTCCTGCATTTAACAACTGTCAATGGCACTTTCGATTGCACATGTATAAAGGATCAACGTTTTGCCATCTGCGTCCATGTGAATATGTTTGAAGTTCTCCTTTGGCTGGAAATAACGAACTGGATATCGAACCTTGATCTTTTCTCCCTCAGATTCCAACTGCAAGTTGTAGGATCTCTGTTGGTCAAATAGTCAATTTAATTAATAATCAATATGTCAATGACTGTGTGGATTGAGAACATAGAATTAGTACTTCTGGATTCTTCATTGAAATCACATTTACATTGAGTGAGGGTTGTGTGGCCGGCTGGTCACAGGAGGCAGGCTAGAGTGCTGCTCTTGGAGGCTGTGAGTTCAATTCCAGTAGGTAGCAACATTTAAGCCTTCTTGAAGGGCTGGGACTCTCTCCACTCCCATTTTTAAAACAATTAGTTACATTACAACATATGTATTTTTATTTGAGGTTACATATATTCTTAGAAATCAAAAGTCTCAATGTCACATTTTAGACTAGTGTTGATGCAGGTGTCAGCAGATGAAAGAGCGGACTCGCGAGGTGGACCGTGGAAAGGAGATGCGAGCCAGTGATTGCTATCATGGTTACCTCGTGCAGCAGCTCTGTGGCCTGTGCAAGCCTGCAAGGTGAGGTCGCCCCACATTATGGTCTGCCTTTTTCTATTTCCTTTTGAGCCGATGAGTTCACACATGTTGGGCCTCTTAAGTTGATGACTCGTGACAACCCATTCAAAGTTATGAAGAATTTTTCTTGCTATCTACCACTAGTACGTCTTGTAATGCTGAAATTGCTATTTGACATGGCAGAATGTTCCAATCAAGATGGTGTCAGTAATATCAACGGATCCAGAGTCCATTTATTTTTTTAAAAAAATGGATGAATGTGTGGCAACTTGGTGATTATTTCAGCTCCCAATTCTGTTTTTTCCTATTTTAATTTCCATATTTGTTTTGTGAGTCATTAGTCTATTGCCACTACTAATTTGCATGCAGATGGGACACCCTTTCTGTCCGAGGATTTTTTAGTGAGCAGCGCTGCTTGACTGCTCATCTATAAGGTCATTTCTTCCACAATAGTTTATCCTGATATGCAACATACTAAATCAGAAAACAGGTGTCATGCTTCCAATCGATTGGGCATAACCATCGCTCCTTCTCATTTGAGTACATGGGAAATTATGCTAGATTTTTTTTTGAAAACTTAATTATGCTAGATATACAGTCATAGCCGTCAGCTTTCTCCTTGCTAATCATGAATTTGGGAAGGATCTTAGTCCTTTGTGTTTAAGATTTGTCTACAATAAATTATTATAGCCTTTATTCTCTGGTTTCGTTACAACCATACACAGTTGTAGACCATTGCCCTTTTTTATCTTGCTATATAATAAATATATTTCAATATGGTGCTACTGGTTGTCTGTACTTGATTATTATTGCCTTTCTTCTCTGGTTTCATTAGTCATTACAACCTTATATATTTTTGTACGACGATATTTAGTTGATATACATAATTATTTTAAACCTAAAATTAAATTTAGAAGTCATTAGGAGCTTCTTTTGTGCAGCCAAGATGTTCTCGAGCAGAGGCTCCTC